CTCTGTCCTTGCAGCACGTCCCTGTCCTTTTTGTACTTTCCTACCGCATAGCATTCAGACATTGAGAAAGTATCTGACTCCGGAAGTGTGCTGCGTATGTCCAGTGTACTCCATAACTTGGTTTTGGTTGCTGTCCCTGCAGCAAATGTGTTGCAAAGATAGGACATTGGGAATGGAAGCAGGTTTTTCAGTGTTTTTGTGGTAATCTTAGGATATTCTGCCTTGACTTTAATCCAGAAAGTATGGAGATTTGAAGTTGTCTCAAACATATTTTTAAGGCCACCATCGTTTGAAATCTCAAGCAGTTCGTCTTCTAGTACAGAGTCAGTTCACCTGGCTTATTCATGGTAAGGAATGAGTCGTGGATCCATTCCTTTCAAGTTTGGGGGTCTTTTGTGGTTGGGGAGTAATGCTCAAACTCTTTTCAAAGCTGAGACAGGTGATCGTGCACCAGCTGGGAGAGAAGGCCCTGGCTCGGTCTCTTTCAGAATGGCTCTCGATGTTTGAAACATGTGAGAAATCCCAGTGTTCATTTGTCACCCCCATAATTCCAGTTTGGCTTTGAATGCAGCCACTTTATCTTCCGACTGGAACACAGTTTTCATTCTCCACTGAAGTGACTTAGTTCATCGAGCAGGTTGAATATGTCACACAAATAAGCAAGTCTTGCGACCCATTTTATGTCACTGAAGTGTGCTGCCAGTGGTGACTTTTTCTGATAGAAATCTCTGGAGTGGCTCTCGTAACTCAGAAACTGTCCAGTGATCTACCTTTAGAAAGCATCTCACTTCTCTGTGTAAAATTTGTGTGCTCTGCGTCCATCCCCTCACAGAACTAAGTGAACAAAGGTGAGTTAAGGGCATGTACTTTAACATGGTTGATAATTTTAATCATATCCTGAGAAACATTGTTAAGTTCAGGTGACATTTTCAGCTAGCCAGCGCTTCTGTATGAATGACAGTGCATAGACTCACATTCAGGAGCAACCTCTTTGACCTGAGTAGTCAAACCAGAAAGTCGTCCAGTCATGGCAGCCGCTGTCTTCATGCATATACTGATGCAAAATGACCTGTTCAGCTTTCCTGATATGTAACCATTCAAAGACTTGAATAGCTCTGCAGCTGTGGTGTTGGTTGGCAAAAAAGCGTACCTAACATATCCTCATGCACATCCTCCTGAAAAATACAGCGCACAAAAACAAGCATTGTTGCCCTGCTGTCAACATCAGTAGACTTGTCATCCTGGATTGCGTACACCACACAGTGACTCATTAATCCTCTCTGACAGTTGTGCCTCAATATCCTCTGCTATTTCATCAGTTCATCTAGCTACTGTGTGAGCTGAAAGAGGAACATGTTCCTGCTTTTGAACTGTATCTTGTTCTAAAAGTTCACGACAAGTGGCCTTAGCATGAGGCAGGATCAACTCTTGACCAATAGTATAGGGCTGCTTAGCTTCAGTGATGTGGTTCGCCACTGATGCTCTCAGTGCAGACACAGTTGATGCAATGGTGGCCTTCAGTAATTGCTTCTGTTCTTCATGTTCGAGGTTTTTTTGTTTTTGTTTTTGTTTTTAAGCCCAAAGGCTTTTTTTTTTTTAATTGCAGGGTGCTTGGTCTCCATGTGGTGAAACAGTTTCATGGCTTTGATGGATAGCTGGTTGCCACATATTAAACATGGCATGCTTGGAGAATGTGAATCACCTGTTGCAATGATCCTGCAATTTAAGTAGAATTCTTAGTATTTTCTTTTAAATACACCTTTCTTTTTGTGGTAGTCTTAGAGTCTTCTGGTGTCTCATCATTGGGTCTTTCCCCCTTTGCAAAGAATCACTTTAGTGACGTTTGTTTTTTACTCCTTTTGGCTGGCTAGGGTTATCATGTGGGCTCACCAAAACAGTGACTGAGACAAGTATGCAATGCAGCAAAGAGGTGCAGGCAGAAGTGATAAATAAAATAATGGGCAGGATATGTGCAGACTAAAATAGGTGTCAGATTCGGACTTAAAGTCTGCCACCAGATGCAGCGATACAGTTTAAGTACATCAACTCACTTGCCACTATAAAGCCTGCCACCAGATGAAGCTTAATTGTCACTTGCCACTCACTGTATGAGTCTGCAAGCAGTTGATTTATTATGGTCTCTGTTCAGTCTGACCTCTCTGCTAATGATAATCTACATTTGCAGCTGCTCTCCAGCGCCAGCATCACTGCCTCAGCTCCACGTAAGATCATCAGCATTAGATTGTCATAAGGAGCACACAACCTAGATCCCTCGCCTGTGCCGTTCACAGTAGGGTTTGCACTCCTATGAGAATGTAATGCCAATGCTGATCCGACAGGAGGTAGAGCTCAGGCGGTAATATGAGCAACGGGGAGCTCCTGGAAATACAGATGAAGCTTTGCTCGCCAGCCCCACTCACCTCCTGCCCCACTCACCTCCTGCTGTGTGGCCCCAGTCCATGCCCAGGAGTTGGGGACTCCTGCTTTTGAGAATGAAAGGGGTGGAGAGAATGTTACTTTCAGTGGGGCCCTGCAGCAGTAGGTGTGAAGTGAGACTGTCCTGAGATAAACAGGTGTGTGGTCATCCTAGTTATACACCAGCCTTGCTAGATAATCATCTGGGGTCTTCCTAAAGTATTTGTTGCCCCACCCCACACAAACTAGTGTTCTAATAATGACAAAGTTCTAATTTAAAAATTAAAAAAGTTCTTTCGTTGAGCTAAAATAGATCTCTTTGCAAATATAACTTTTCTTCCCAGTTATGTCCTTTGGCATTAAATATAGTCGAAGTGAAGAGATTAGTCAGAGACCATATACAAAGGTCTGTCCAGAAAAATCCAGCCATTGTTAATGTAACAAGAATGGTTTGCATGACATTGATATAATCTGGCAGCCAAGGAGAGTGGACTGGAATGTGCATGTGTGAACAATGACAACCTCACTGTACTAGTCATGGGGTGGGGTAGATGCTGTTGAGTGAGCATGTGTAATGTGTGGCTGTCACATTCAAGATGACTGAGCAGAGCAGTAAATCTGCATCAAATTTTGCATTAAGCTTTAATATTCCTCCATGGAAACTATTTGGATGATTCAGAAGGCTGTAGCTATGGACAACTGGTGATTGGCAACTTCATCATGAAACATGCCTGCTCATGCATCACATCTCATACAGTTTTTTGATGAAACATCAAATAACCCAGGTGACTCAGCCCCCCTGCAGCCTAGATTTGGTGCCATGTGACTTCTGACTTTTCCTCAAATTAAAATCACCTTTTTTTTTTTTTAGATTTTATTTATCTTTAGAGAGGGAAGGGAGGGAGAAAGAGAGAGAGAGAGAAACATCAGTGTGCGGTTGCTGGGGGTCATGGCCTGCAACCCATGCATGTACCCTGACTGGGAATTGAACCTGCGACACTTTGGTTCGCAGCCCGCGCTCAGTCCCCTGAGCTACGCCAGCCAGGGCGTAAAATCACCTTTGAAAGGGAAGCGATTTCAGACCATTAATGAGATTCAGGAAAATACAACAGGGCAGCTGCTGATGATTGGGAGAAGTATGTGAGGTCCCAAGGTGCCTACTTTGAAGGGAACTGAGGCCTCGTTGAAAAAGAGTGAAACTTAGCATTTGTAATAGCACAGATGGACCTAGAGGGTATTATGCTTAGTGAAATGTCAGTCAGAGAAGAACAAGTACCATATGATTTCACTTATATGTGGAACCTAAAGAACAATATAAATGCAAAACAAAACAGAAACAGACTCAGATACAGAGAACAGACCGATGTTTGTCAGAGGGGTGGGGTGGAGGTTAGGGGCTAGGCAAAAACAGAGAAGGGATAGATTGGCAGTACAGATTGGTAGTTATAAAACGGTCACGGGGATGTAAAGTACTGCATAGGGAGTATAGTTAATAATGTTGTAATCTCTGTGTATGGTGCCTGGGGGGTACTGGAAATATTGGGGGAAGTACTTTGTAAGGTGATTGTCTAACCAAAATTAATACAAAATAATATCGAATGAAGAGAATAAATACTTTCGAGTGAATGAAAAAGTGAATATGGAAGCTCTGTGCTATAGCGCTAGAGACTGTTGACTTAGTTACTGGGCTTTACTGTTTGCATATATCAAATGTTCGCTATAAATTATAATTTTGTAAAAATGAAACTGAAGGTTTAGGTAGAGCAGTTGAAATAAATTGGTATGTTGTACTAGTTCCAGAGCTTTGTTTCTGAGATTATTTGCAAAAGTATCTGTAATTATTTTAATTATTTGAATAAATCATGGCAGGCTTTAAAAATGAGCAGGTCCTTCTGGGGAGCACATTTATGTACTAAGGAGTTAACTTGCAAGAACTAGAGGAGAGCTGTTTTGTGATACAGGATATTTCTCTTTACCATAATTCATCTGCATTTGCAGCATTAACAGTAGTTTGGAAAAGTTGTTTACTCTTTTGACACCTTTACTGTTACTTGTTTTAGTTGCTACTGCTTAGTGTCTCTTTGTATGCTACTTTTATTTGTCTTTTCTTGCTCATCTGACATTTTCCTCCTAAAAGTATCATTATAGATGACTAAATCAGGACTTCTCCTGGGTACCTTGTAGTGGGAAATACGGGAGATGCTTTGTGACACCAGGGCACTCGTGCTGTGCTGACTTGGTGCTGTGGTTGTATTGTTAGGGTTCGACTTTTCTTTGTAATAAACGGTGATTGATGGATGGTAGACAGTATTTACTTGGGATTGAATTAATTGGAATCTGTTGTAATCCTGAACATTTTTTCTTTATAAATTATTAATTTGAATTTTACTTTGTAAAGAAACTAAGAATTCTACAGTTCTTAGTGACTGATTAGATCTCTTTAAAAATGTTCATCTTTTTAAATGCTACTTTACGTTCTTTACAGCTAAAAAATGATCCTTTGCCTGAAACAATCTTTAAAAATGAGTGTAAATTAAAAAAAAATAGAATCACATTAAAATTTCTTGTATCCTTTGTTCTCTTAGCTTCACAATGAAGAGGATAATTCAGAATCACCTGCAGTGGAGCAACCATCAGCTTCAGCTCCAACACCACAGACCATGCGGACTGTTCCTGCAGCATTAGTACTCGAAACAGACTCTTCTCCGCCACCTTACAGTAGTATTACTGTGGAAGTACCTACAACTTCAGGTACTGTGTTTATTATGAAACAACTAACAGTGTTTTTAATAGTGCAGGTTTTTTGTTCCTTTGATTTTCCAGTATGGTTTTGTGTGCATACACACATACATACATATATATGTGTGTGTGTGTCTACTTACATAGTCATAAAATAAGGTGTTGTTCATGGTGAGTGTGAGCATGTGGTATGTGTTAACAGAGCTATAGAATGTGAATGTGATATTATCCCATGCACATGGTAATCATTGTTGGACACAAGGCAGTGATTGCTGCTTGCTCATCTTATCCTTCAGTCATTCCAAAGAACTACTCTCATCTATTTCTCGGGCCACAGTTCACATTTTCCCCCAGCAACACTAATGTAATCATTACAGTGTTTCAAATATGATCTTGTATGGTATTGTAAATAACCTCTAAATATTTTATATGCTTATTATGAAATATTTTAAAAATCAGTTATTGAAAAACAGTTTAATGTAAAAAACTGCCATCACAGTGTATCATCTTTCTGATCCCTTACTCTATGGTTAGTGTCATCTACCTTTCTCAAACTCATGCCAGCTTTCTCTGGTTATCATTTTTGCTTGTCTAGATTTTATCTAGACCACATGGGATATGTAAAAGACCCAGTATTTTTTACACCACATTTGTTTGCTTTTTCGTGTAATTAGTGAAGATCATCTCCATGAAGGTGTTTTCACTAATTAGATTAATAAAGGCTTACTCCTGTTTGTATATAATATTATTTGATTAATGTGCTTGTTCAGCACCCAGTTTGATGCAGTTTTTATGTTGATTTATATCAGTTTTATTTGTTTGGCTATAAGATTTAACAGTCAGATTGGTGCTTTCTAAAATTCATTATGGGCTAGCTCTTCTTCATTATTTTACAGGTTTCCAGAGTATATAACACAGTGAATTTGCTATCCTACATTTTAAAAAAATCTATTAATACTTGATGTGTATGAATGATGGAAGATACTAAAAGTGAAATTGCAATCTCTTTGTTGTGACTACCATTGCTATGCTGTGTACCAAAACACCTCAGAGTTACTGGAGTATAATAACAGTCATTTATTATTATTAATGCTCATGGTTTTGGGGGTAGACTGGACTCTATGCAGTTTTCTCTCAGGGTCACATGTGATTTTCATCTGATGGTGACTGGGCTTGGAAGTATCCTGTAGGCTTTCCTGTTCACATGATTGACGGTTGACCGAGGGCTTTGCCTAGGGCCTCCGATGAGGCTCTCCCCCTCACCTATACCAGCCTCTTGTGCCTGGGCTTCCTCACAGAATGGAGGCTGGGTTCCAAGAACAAGTATTCTGAGAGACTGCCAGATGGAAGCTAAATCACCTTTTGTGACATTGCCTCAAAAGTCACAGTGGCACATTTGCCACATTTAGCTTGTTAGCAGTGAGTCACTAAATTTATTCATTATTCAAGACTATTGAGAAATGTCTCCACCTCTTTGTGGAGGAGTTTCAAATGATAGGCTAGTGTTTAAAACCACCGCACCTGCCTAGTGCCCTGTCCTCCAGCACCCAAATTTTCCTTCGATAGTCTTCCCTGTTTCAGTGAGTGTCTGCAGCAGGTCGGAAGCCTTGGAATCATCTTTTTGGTACATTATCATAAAGTTAGACTTATTCTCCTTCAATTTTTGATGTAATGAAGTATGTTATTAATGGGTTTCTTCTTTAATCTATCTCTGTATTCCTGGAGTAAATTCTTTCTGTCTTCATATTCTAGTTTCTACTGAATATAGATTTCTTAAAGTTTTATTTAATGTTTTTGCAGCTTTGTTAGTGGGATCTGTAACTTACTTTATTTACTATATGTATGATTTCGGTTTTAATATTATAGAAGCAACATAAAATGAATTGAGAAGCTTCTCATTTTTCTATTAACTGGAAGAGTTTTGGTAATGTAGCATGACATTTTTAGTGTTAAATAAATTCTAACTGTAGAACAAGTGAAGCCTAGTACCTTGATGCTCCGTTATTCTTAGAATTTTCTCTGATTACTGCGTTATTTTCTACAACCGTGCTGAAAGGCCATTTATAACTATAATGGTGTACAAGAACTGAGTAGTTCTAGAATTTTGGATCTCCGTTTAGTGAAAACTACTGGCATCATTTTTTTCAGCGTCTGAGTCATTTTCTATTTATTTATTTATTTGGTATTTTTCCCATTACTGTTTATTCCCCTTATACCCTCTTCTTCCTCTATCCCCTCCTTCCACTGCTTCCCCCCATAATCACCACACTGTTGTCCATGTCCATGTCCATGAGTTCTGTTCTTTTTTCTTTTTTTAAAGATTTATTTTTAGAGAGAGGGGAAAGGAGGGAGAAAGAGAGGGAGAGAAACATCAATGTGGGGTTGCCTCTTGTGCACCTTCTACTGGGGACCTGGCCCACCACCCAGGCATGTGCTCTGACTGGGAATTGAACCGGCAACCCTTTGGTTTGCAGGCTAGCATTCAATACACTGAGCCACACCAGCCAGGGTTCTTTTGCTTTTTTGATTGAACCACCATTGTCAGTCCCACCTCTAGAGCTGTCAGCCTGCTCTCTATCCACGCATTTGTCCTTATTTTGCTTGTTCATTCAGTTTGTTCATTAGATTCCACATATGAGTGAAATAATATGGTATTTGTTTTTCTTTGGCTGGCTTATTTCACTTAGCATAATGCCATATAGGTTATGATTCAGCACAAGGATCTTGGTAGCTGACTGACTCTTCAGACCTCTCCCCAGAGCTACCAGGCCCAGACTCTCATGTGTCTCTTGTCCACTCTGCCCTCCCTTAACTGAAGCCCAGGGTAAATGGATGCAAATGAAATTTTGTGTGTTGGTCCTTCATGATGGTTTCTGATTCTCTAGTCATCTCTCCCTGGTGAACAGAAACTCTGCTGCTTTTCACAGCCAGATGTTATGTGGATACCTTTCCTGGTTCTGGTGCTCCAGGCTGGGGAACCTGGCTTGGCATTTAAATCCCACACTTCTCAGGGGGAACCCCCTGTGGCTGCTGAAACATCTCCCCATAAGTTTAGCTGTTCCCGTGGGAGCCCAGCCAGCCCTCTCGTGCCTCCGCACTTCCTGCCAGTCTCAATGTGACATGGCTTCTTCCATAAGTTTCTTGGTCAGATGGCCTCTTTCAAGCTAGTCTTAAATTGGTTATTCAGGATGATTTTTTTCCTATAATTTATTTGTAATTCCACTTTGGTCTTAGGAAGAGATTAGTGTAGCTTCAACCTACTCCACCACCACCTTGGTCCCCTCATTGTTGTTCTGTCATAAGCATGGGGAGTGCCCGTTTTCTGAGGAGATTGTGCTCTTCGATAGGTCACTTAATGGCTGGTTTCATACATCTCAGAGCAGTATCAGTGGCAGGTGACATCTGTACTACGCTTCATAGTTCTCAGAGTCCTCTAGAATACCCGTCTGTTTCATCCCATTCTAGAAAGTAATAGCCTTGCTGAGTCAGTTTTATTGATTAGGAAGTGGAACTTCATGGTGTTTAACTGATTTGCTTGAGATGACATAATCTAAGAAGAGGGGGTGGGGCTGGAGCTCCCCAGACTTTAAATCCTCTGGTTAAAAACCACTGCCTTAAAAGATAGAAGAAAAATAGGTAAAATTAACAAGTGAAAATTTAAGCTGTTATAGTTGAATGTTTCTCCCCACTTTTCATTATTACTGGTGGGAATATTTTTTTATCTTTGATGTTAAGACTTTTCAAAAACTTATGTATCTGTTGTTAATATAAAACTCTAATATCCTTGGATAATGGGTCCTTTGTTCCAGTTTCAAAAATCATTTTAGTGTTACTGCCTTAAAATTCATAACTATTATTTTCATGTAAATTTTGCTCCTACTGTAGTCTTTGGAACTAAAGAAATTTATTTACTTAACTATTTGTTGTGTTTTTACATCCTAATAATTAGTGTTTTCTAAGAATTTAGGATTCTTGTGCCTTTTGGTAGATAACATTCAGTATTATATTGTTACTACTACTTTTGCTTATTAAATTAGAAATGACCTAACTGCATATTCATCGCTCTTTTAAACAACATTTAAAAAACTTATTTTAAAACCTATGTACATAAAACACAATAGGAAAAATTTTGCTAATGAAAAATGTGTTGTTGTTTCGTAAATTCAAGAAATTCTGATAAGGACAGAGAATATTATGAACCAATGCAGAAAGTGTAACACTGTAGTTATAATAGAAGAAAGCACAGAAGTAGTATCAAACATTGTGGTCTGTACTATTTTTAGAATGTGCTTGTGTTTTCATGTCAGCCATTCTGGCCTAAGTCTAGTCAGCTGGCTGACCTGTGTCCTTTTACTTACACTACTTAAGTTGGCAGTAAGTGGTAACTGGTTTTTTAATAAATATAAGCAGTCTCTACTTACTATTATTATATATGTGGAGATCATAGTTTAAAAAAATTTAAAAATCAGAGGGATTATTCATAAAAAGAAATAGGTCAGTATTGGAAAATGGGAGGAGAAAGAGACAAGAGTAAACAAGACTTAAACTTCAATCTTTTAGCAAAAAAAAGTACTGAGTTTGATGATGAGATTAGAACAGTTACAAAAACTGACATGTGTACACAATTAACCTCTTATATGTAGAAAAATTAACCTCTTATATGAGCAAAGTATTTGGTCAGGTAATCCCCAGGGTTCTGCCACCCATTGGTTGTGTAATACAGGCAAAATCACTTGACTTTTTGAACCTACAAGTTGCCAACATTAATGTACATAAGAAGTGGCAAGTTAAATGGTTAGTACTATATGTGTTTATTATTTCTGGTATTTCTACTTTTTTGTCTTGAGATTATGGGCAAGTAAATTGAATTATTTGAGGATAACACTGTTGTTTACCTCTCGAGTCTTGCACTCCTTTCCAAAATCTTATTTTTAAGATGCTTATTTTATGTATCAGCCTTTAGATAATATTTATCAGTCCTTTTTCTTTGTAATATAGGACTAAAATTATATATATGATTGTAGTAATTTCTATGTTACATTCCTTATAACATAGGAAACAAAAGCAGTCATAGTCTTTAGTGGCCTGTTGTAAATCATTAAGTTACACTTTTGGCTATAAAAACTATACCAAATAGTTCCCTTTTAATGGTTATCCTATTTTAATTCATTTTCTTCAGATACAGAAGTTTACAGTGAGTTTTATCCTGTGCCACCTCCCTACAGTGTTGCTACCTCTCTTCCTACCTATGATGAAGCTGAGAAAGCAAAAGCTGCCGCAATGGCAGCTGCAGCAGCAGAAACATCTCAAAGAGTAAGAAAATTCTACTTCCTTTTGAGGGTATTCAGATATAAAAAAAGAAAAGGTCCAAGTGGCACTCGAACGTAGTCATACCTTGGAGACGCTGCAGGTTCTGTGCCAGACCATTGCAGTGAAGCTAGTCTCGCAATAAAGCAAGTTACGGTGTTTCTGTTGGTGAAGGGTCTTGCCTTTATTTTTGTTAAAATAAACAAACAAACAAACAAACATCTGTGAAGCACAGTAAAGCAAAGTACGATGAAAATGATGTGAGGCCATGTATCCACCTGTAAATGAATCTCTTCTGGGTGAGCTGAGGCCGATTTCCTGAATCTGTTCTCACAGTAAAGTAAGTGACCAAACTTGGAGACATTATTTTTCTACTTTTTTCTCTTTTTCATGTATAGGATTGGATGTATAATTATGGGATAATCACATAGATTTATGAAAATTAACTCATTTTTAAAATTCTTATGAAAAATATTTGAGTATGTATATATGAGGTCTGCCTGGAAAAAGTCCAACCATTGGTAATATAATGAGAATGGTTTGTGTGACATCCATGTAACCTGGCAGCCAAGGAGAGAGGATTGGAATGCACATGTGTGAACAAGGATGACTTCATTGTGCTAGTCAGTGGGGGCAGTAGACACTGTGAAGTGAGCATGTGTACTGTGTGGCCATCACATTCAAAATGACTGAGCAAGTAGAGCAATGAACCTGCATCAGATTTTGTGTTAAGCTTGAACATTCTTCCATGGAGACTATTCAGATGATTGAGAAGGCTTTCAGGACCATGCAAAGAGTGCAGAGTTGTAGTACAACAAAAACAGCCATGGCTGTGGGCAACTGGTGATGGGTAGCTTCATCATGACAGGGTGCCTGATCATGCATCACATCTCGTGCCAAGGGTCTTGGCGATGCATCAAATCACCCAGGTCACTCAGCTGCCCTATAGCTCAGATTTGGTGCCCTACAACTTCTGGCTTTTCCCAAAACTAAAATCACCTTTGAAAAGGAAGAGATTTCAGACCCTCGATGAGATTCAGGAAAATACTGTGTGGCAGCTGATGGCGATTCCAACAAAGAATTTTGCAGAGTATTTTGAACAGTGGAAGAGATGCTCAGAGAACTGTGTGAGGTCCCAAGGTGTGTACTTTGAAGGCTACTGAGATGTCATTGTCCCGTGTACAGTATTTCTTGTATCTTATACCTTCTTCAATAAACGTCTATTTTTCATATTATGTGGGTGGATACTTTCAGGACAGACCTCATATATCTGTACAGTGTATTTGGAGAGCTGGAATTGCTGGGTCAAAGGGTGTGCGTCCATTTTTATGTTTGATAAATATTGCCATCATTGATTATGAAAGTTCCTGTTTTTCAGTTGACACTAATGCAACAATGTCACATCTGCTTTTCTTGATATCATTTTCATTAATTCAGTATTATTCACCTTTTATCTTTTTTTGTATTTTACCTTTGAAGTTACTCTTTTCAAGAGTGCCCCTTAAAAATTAACACTCTCTACACGTTTGTACACGTTATTGTATTTTGACTATACAACAAGTTGAGGATATTAGATTTTATTTAAATTCTTATCTTGATATTTAATGTAATAAAGTTGTAATTTAGTGAGCTGTTCTAATGTCATATGTTTTACAGATTCAGGAGGAAGAGTGTCCACCAAGAGATGACTTCAGTGATGCAGACCAGCTCAGAGTGGGTAATGATGGGATCTTCATGCTGGCATTTTTCAGTGAGTGAGCTTTCCTTTCCAAACTATCTGTATGTATTTGCATATGTTGGCTGTGTGTATTATAACAGACAGTGAAGAAAGGCAAATATTGTTAGCATGTGTCTTCCTTGTTTAAAAATGTAAATTGTTCCTGATCCTAGCTAGCTAAGTGTGATCATATGTTACAGTACAAATCCTGAAATTTATTGAATACTTATCAGATAACGAAGTATTATAGTCATCATGCTAGATGCTGATTGTATGGAGATATATAAGTATGTTTAAGCTAAATATGGTTTTGTATGATAAATGCTACAGGTTTATTCAGTATTGTAGGAGCATATAGAATGGAACTATAAATTCTTTTGAGGCAGAGGACTTTCATTTGAGTGTCTTTAAAGCAAAAGAGAGGTTGGAAAAGCAAATATTTTGGGCAGCTAGAACAGTGTGATTTGAGACACTAAGTATGAAAATGTACATCTTATTTGGAGGGAATGGTGAGTATTTAGAAGCCCAGAAACCTGTTACATTTTGTAACCTCTTGCTGAATTCTTAATTTAATATTTGACTTGTAAAGTAGACTTAAGATACTTGAGTGAAGGCTGTGTTACAGTCTTTGTTGTTTCAGTTCCTAATTGGCGCATTGTAAACCCAGTAAATAATATTGTGAAACTCAAACAAACTTTTAAATTGCTAAAATCTGTTTTGGAAACTTAATATTCATGTAAGTAAATTTATTAGTTTATGATATGGTTAATTTCTGCCCTTAACTTAGTTAAATGATCAAGTTTTCATACATTCTTTGATGGAATGCTAATTTAATTCATTTTAATTTATGACTTATTTTTATAATAAAACCGAGGAATAGTTTACTTATTTAAAGTACCACATTCAACTTTAAAAATGGGAAATGCACTCTTTTTGAATTGAGTTACTTTTGAGTCTAGAAAATCACTGACTGCTTCTTCCATTTTGAAATGGTTTCTTCCTTTGTTTTATTTTATCTTCTGAAGAATAGAAGTAGGTAACCTCTCAGAGGTGGGTGGGTGAATGAGTGGGTAGTTAGATATTTTCTTCAAATTTATTAAATTATATTCATGTCGGCGCCAGCTAATGTGATGGGATATTTAAATCTCATATTTTTGTTATAGTGTCTAGTTAAATACGATGTTAGATACTATGTAAAGGAAACGAATGAACACTTTGGCTCCAAATAACTACTGTATTTTACTGTTAGTCTACTGAACCTTGCTTTAATGTAAATATATTTGCCTTAGTTTTAGTTCAGCTGATGACCCTTTATATTGATAGCACACTTCCCACATATTTTGATTACAAGAGTCATGTAAACACTGATTCCTTAATTAGAAAAGAAAGACTTTAAATTTGTGTGTAGTATAAACACCTGTTTCTTAGGAATGAACACATGTTATCTGACACCATCTAATTGTCTGACTCAGAGCTTCCTCACTTCTCCATTTCCGTAGTTCACTGAACCCTACCGTCTTCTCTGTAATTCATGGTTTTAGATTTGAAAACAGTTCACTGATGTCACAGTGTTGCAGATGCATGATAAACTAGACATTTGATTAGGTTTATTTTTGGCCAGTGATGGCATATTAATTAATGTGAACATAAGTTTATGGTTAATAAATTTAATGTACATTATCTGACTTATCTAAATTTTGACTGAATTCTACTTTTACAATTTATATTTTTAGACTATTTCATAGTCTATAAATATTGCACTAATATAAGAGTAAAATTATAAATAATTTTAGATCTTTATTTCCTTACATATTTTTTTTTCTGGTGGACTGTAGGCCAGAGCTTGAGTTTCTTTGGTTTAGAGAGCATGGATTTATTTGTGTTCACTGCCATCTAGTGGCTGTTCTACAAATTGCAGCTTCCTATAATATGCAGCTTTCCATGCATCTTAAACTAGCAGGTGTTACCTTGATTCTGCTCTGGTGTGTGTTCCTAAGGTTCAGAAATGGATTTTCTTTAATGTGGTTTATAACTTAAGCACTTCTTGTTATATAAGTTGGACAAGTAAAACTGCAGTGAATATCAATTTTAATATTTTAGTTAAAATCTTTTGTAGGTTTAATTCTTGCTTTCTCTGTTTTCAATATCTACATTTCTGTCCCTTGCCACATGTAACCCTAAAATAAGTTTACACCTAAATATGGTAAGAAAATTGCATGTGCGTGTTCAGAAAATATAAATAAAAAATGTATGTATCCCCTGGTGTTGATTTAGCTTCTCATAATCCCTTGACGTGTCACTGCAAAATGCCTGTTACATGTCTGACCTGCTAATCTCTGATCGTATATTTATCAGATATTCTCTCTAAGGGAGTGGAATTCAGTTATCAGTTAAAAATGAGAAATTAAGATTTTATTTACTGAATAATTGACAATCTGTGAAAATGACCCTGAACTCTAGCACTTAATAATGTCATGGGCTCCATCTAGAAACTTTGTCTTCTAAGGTGAGCCTTTTGTGTCATGTGTGATCTTCCCTCAGTGATATATTAATAATTGATCACTGCATCATTTCCATTTTAAAGTAGAAGATCTCATCATTAAAGAGAAATTAGGTTAATTGTACCTTTAAAAAGAATTAGAACTGTGTTTAGAAATGTAAAATCTGACTTGTAAGCAGTGACCAGACTGTCACAGTGGCCATACCGCTTTGTCTGAGTGAGAGCGTCTGGTGCTCTGATCGTCCTCAGCATTTGATACTGACGTTTTTAAAAAAGACATCCCAGTAGGTGTGTGGTGGTATGTCGTTATGGTTTTAATTTGCATTTCTCTAACAGTTAATTATGTTGAGCATCTTTATTCAGTAAATTCTTTTGAGTACCTACCATGGACAAGTCATAAAAATTAGTTGTTAAAGGGGCTGTCTTAGCACCACACATACTGAGTAACAATGTATTAATGGTTCGTTCTGTGCATGCAAAGCTGTGTTTTTATATAGTTTTTAGATGGCATTACATATTGTAAGTGAATCCAGAAAGACAACATTTAAAAATTGTTAACTGTATACTTAAAACTTCGTATTTGTGAAATATTAAATTTTGTTGAATTTGTTTTATTTACAAGAAAAATAATTTTTATTTAATTCTCTATAATTTAGTGGAAATGTCTTAAAACTAATACGTTATTAGCATCATGTCTTTCTTAATGGCTGATAGTTCAAACAAAGAGCCTAAGGGTAAGACAGAAATTTATAGTCCCTGTGTAGTTCAGAAATAAGTATAGTGAAATTAATCTTCCTTTTGAGAACTTACTGTCCTAGGAACCTGGTGCATTTACATGTAATGAGAATTTTTCTTTGACCAAAAAAAATAAGTTCTCAGTGTTTGTATTATATGCATATTTATCACCTCTAATTTTCATTTGTTTTCAAAACAAGTATCAAGATTTTTAAAGTTATTTTAAAATACTTTAAAACTTAGGAAAAAGTGGTAAAAATAATAAAGCTTCCATGTAACTTTATCCAGCTTTTCCAAGTCTTAACATTTTATGTAACTTCAGTCCAATAATCAACACTTGAAAATTAATATTAATTAAATACTAACTGGTTCACTGATCCTATTCACATTTTGCCAACTGTCTCACTAATGCCCTTCTCAGTGCTTCGAATCGGGAGGGAATGCTGAGAACTCTCTTCACTATAAAGTTACTCTCTTCCCCCTCATTTTTTCATTTTTTATTTATTATCTTCACTTCAGGACATGTTTATTGATTTTAGAGAGGAAGGAAGGGAGAGAGAGAGAAAGAGAGAGAGAGACATCGATGTGAAAGAGAAACATCATTTGGTTCCCTTTCATACGGGCCCTGACTGGGGACCAAACCTGCAGCCTACGCATGTGCCCTGACTAGGAATTGAACCTGTGACCTTTCAGTTTTCAAGATAATGCTCTAACCGAGCTACACTGGCCAGGGCTGTTTCCCCCTTTTTAATTAATAAGTATCTTATAGCTACTGAAAATTTAAACATACAACCTTTCTATTTAATGGGTAAACTGTAGTATACAAATACTACTATTACTGTCTGGGCTATCCTGCTAACTTTTGTGGGTAGGTGGGAGGTGTAGATGGTAAGAAGAAACTGTATAGCAGATAAAAGACTGGGATACTTCAATCCTAACTATACCTTACTTGCTTTATGACTCTATGTGCAGCTTAACGGTTAATTCTCAATTGGTTCTTCTGTACTGTGGAATTAATTTGACCTTGCCCTTCTTAAAAAGCTTATGTGAGGAACAAACGAGTGAGAATTATGAAAACAAATTATAGAGTTCTATTGATTGAAGGTGGTGGTAGTGTTTTAGTTCCCCATCCTTACCCAGGAATTCACCTTTTAGTTGTAATAAGTAATGTGAATTAAAATGATGGGCAGCCTTCTTTCAAATGTCATGAATCTGTCCGAACCTGCCTGGTTTGCTCTCTTACAAAGAAGAGTACTCTGAAGGTGAATATGGAGAAGTGTAAGGGGAGTAAGAGTAAGCATTCTTTACCAACTTTTCTGAGTTGATTGCCTTGCTTCCCTGCTGCTTGCTCCCCCAGATCTTACCTGAGGAATGTACGCTATGTACACTTCTTGCTTCTTTGGGTTTCGTCTTGGGCCTTGCTGTATGGGAAATAGGTGTTCTATATTCGAGGAGAACATAGCATGAATGAAGTAGAGTTGAAAGAAAAGTATTGTCGTCTCTCCTAGGCATAAGTTCCCCTGCCTCTACTACACATTTCTTTTATAGATGGTACAGATTTACAGTTTAGTGTATACTTACTAAATTTTCTTTTTTGCCAGCTCTGACATGGCATGGGGGATCCAGAAATGAATCCAGAAATAATTCTGCTCTTAAAGACCTATCCAGCTTTACTTTCTGTCTTACAAGCTAACGGGCATAAAACGTGAATTTACCTATGCTCAAGTGGTCACCAGCTTCACTGTTTCCTTAGTGCTTACACCAATTAAAGATGTTTATTGTATTTGTCTGTTTGGTCTGCCATAGCAAAATACCAAAGAATGTCTGGCTTACAAATGGAAATTGATTTTCTCTGAGTTTTGGAGGCTAGAAGTTCAAGATCAGGGTTCCAAAAAACTTGGTTTCTGGTGGAGGTTCTCTTTCTGGTTTTCAGATGGTTGTGTTCTTGATGTGTCCTCATGTGGCCTGTCCTCTCCACGTATGTGGAGAGAGACCTCTCTAGTGTCTCTTTTCTCATCCTTTGTGCACACTAAGCCATCAGATTAGGGCTCTACCCCACAGGTGGCAAACACAAGGCCCTCGGGCCAAATCCAGCCCTCCACTTTGTTTTGTCTGGCCCGGCATCTACCCTTGGGCAGCGCCAAGCTTCTTGCCCCTAGTTAAGGAGCAGTTAAATTTATACAGTCCTAAAATTACGTTCAGCCCTTTGAAGGCAACCAAGAGGCTGCTGTGGCCCCTGGTGAAAAATATGAGTTTGACACCCCTGTTCTACCCTTATACCCTCATTTAATCTTAATTATCACCCCGAAGCTCCTGTGTCTAAATATAATCACATTGGGGGGTAAGGCTTCAATCTACACATTTGGAAGGGGCACAGTTCAGTCCCTAACAAGTTGTAGTGCCTGAGCACAACTTACAGGAACCCGTACCACTGGCAGAGCAAGAAGGAAATGTGATGGCTCGGTGAATACTTCTCTGTCCTTTTGGGTTTTATTCCTAGTGTGGGTGCAATGGTAAGTGTAATAGGTTGGAAGAAATTAATTGGTAAGTGCTTGGCTATAATGTGGTTTTGGAGTATTTTGCTGTTTTGGATTTTCTGCATCAGTGCTTCCTGTGTTTTCACAACACGGCACACTTGCAGAACGATAGCCCGCTTACAGCACACTGGGATGAAGGCAGAAGGCGCTCGGGGCTGGTGACAGCCCTTCCTCCGCCCCAGACCTCGCCTGCCCCCTGCCCTGAGACCTGAGGAGAGGAACATCTCCACCTGTCACTGACGCACACGTGGCATACCAGTGGGGAATCTCTGCCTCTACACATGGATGTAAATTCTTTATTTTAAGTAGATACAAAATTATTTTTTGATGCCTGTTTTGTGTTTTCCCCCACAGCTAACACAAATATTAGCCAATTAGATACGGAGCAGTTATGTCTAATATAATGTTCTGTGCTGGTGGAAATGTTCTAAATCTCTGCTGACCCGTAATAGGACAACTACAAGCCACATGTGACTCAAACACTTGAAATGTGGCTGATTCGATGGAGGAACTGTATTCTTAATTTTATCTGGTTTTAATTAATTTAAGTTTCAGTAACCTCTATAGAGAAGGATGAATCCTGGGGCACCAGGAAGAGGCAGGGTATCTGGTGGCATTGGATAGCACAGATCTGGAGAACGACAAAATACTGATCGAAATGTAGGTTTGAAAAAAGGGAAAAAGTAGAAAGTTAAAGAAAAATTATTTCCAATAGTGTATCTTGTAATTTTTTGTTGTACAGAAAAGATAGGACCTACTCTGTAAGGTGAAGAGACCATTTTGCTTGGGTAGTAATGACAGCTAACACTTCAGCAATTACCACAAGCCAGGTTCTGTCCTGTGCTAAGCTCTTTACATGCACTGTCTCACTTAATCCTCTTATCAACTTTGTAAAAAGTGAGTACTCACAGGTCAGAGAACTTGTGGAAGTTAGCAGTGAGTCCAAGGTCACATATCTAGTAAGTGAGTACGCTGCCACTCAAATACAGGTCTCTTATTTCAAAACTTACTCTGTGTTTAAATACAGCTTCCTACAAATGATCAAGAAAGCTGAGACTTTTCAGAAAGCATTAGGAAGGAAGAAATTATTAGAATAGGGAGATTGTTTTAAAGAAATAGCTCTTTCATTTAAACTTATCCTACTATGCTTCCTCTTTAGCTTCAGAATTCTGAAACATAAGAATTTCTCTAGGTAATTTACTTTATGTTCTTGGGAGATATGTAGGGGAAGAGGATAGGTACTGAACAGACCCAAACCTAGGCTCAAATGGATCTTTAGAAGCTTTATTGTTGTTGTTGTTGTTGTTTTGACAATGCTGATATGTTGGACATAAGTAGGGCACTCTGATTATATCTCAGGGACCTACATCAGTGTTGATTCAGCTACAAGTAATAGAAACCCGTTACTACAACTGTTTTAAATAGTCAGGAGATTATCTCACAAGATAAGAAGTCCTGGATGAGCGTCTGAAGGCTCAGAGAGTGTCAGTGTTGTGGTTCTGCTCTCCTGTGCTTTGCTTCACTCGGCCCCTTGGAGAGGGGGTTTGTTCCTCAGGCTGACAGCAGGATCCCAGCAGCAGTTCTAGGTATCACGTCCAAACATCCAGAGGAAGAGGAGGGGCCGTTTCTTCTTTTGTTTTTACATGAGAGTAGGTAATAGTAAAATAAATTTTTCCATGTAGCCATTACACAGCTTCAGCAGTGATCACTTTAGAGCCACTGTTAATTACTTAACCTGTATTCCATCCTCCCTCCTTTTGGTGTGTTTTGCTGTGTTTATAACAATCAAGGAATGTTTTTCAGAAGTCCTGTTTTTAAAAATCATAGGAAAGGAATTCTGATTTTCCCCGGACTACTTGGGACCCACCTTGTAGGGCTAAGTATGGGATCCAGCCTTCCCTGTAGCGTCTGTAGAGGTGGGTTTTGTTAGAGAGCAGGAAGGGCAGTGAACAATATCCGACTGGGGAATTTCCTTTGTAATTCATTTGGCTCATTTTTAATATTGGCAGATTGGTTGACTAGCTTAGGCTGGGCTTTTTGGGTGGGATCACATGGAAGCTGCATTGTGACCTGGTTTTTAACTGGTTTAAAAAATGTTCCACCCATTGGGGATGAGCTTTAAGGGATTGATTCCAGTTGATGAAGTTGACAAGAAAGCAAGCTTGCACATTTGTTTCTGTTTAGTAATGACTTAATTTGCAAAAGATAAAACTATAGTCTATAAAAAAGACTTCATTGGTCCAAAGTCAAAAAAGAAAGGGAACCTATTACCATTAGGCAATGCATATTTTTTCCCCAAGATTTTTATTTATTTATTTTTAGACAGAGGGGAAGGGAGGGAGAGAAACATCAACATGTGGTTGCCTCTCACACTCCCCCCACTGGGGACCTGGCTCACAACCCAGGCATGTGCTCTGACTGGGAATCAAACCGGTGACCCTCTGGTTCACAGGCCAGCACTCAATCCACTGAGCCACACCAGCTGGGGCACAATGAAGAATTATTAATATCAAGTCTCTGTTAATTTGTTTCCAAAGTATGGCTTTTTAAAATAATTGTTTCTCTTTTAGTGGCATTTATTTTCAACTGGCTCGGATTTTGTTTATCCTTCTGTATCACCAATACCATCGCTGGAAGGTACGGTGCCATCTGTGGGTTTGGCCTTTCATTGATCAAGTGGATCCTTATCGTCAGGGTGAGTGTCTTGATAACCTCTCTAACTTTTAGCTTTAAAATTAAAATATATGAAGTTTCCTGTGGGTTCATGAATGTTCATTTTATGGATATGAATTCAATGATTTTGAGACTTTTCTTAACTTCTAGACTTAATTATTTTAGTGATCTCTGGTGTGAACGTTTATAACTGTGTTTATGTGAGAGCTTGTTAGTACAGTCGTCCCCTCTTACCCACAGTTTTGTTTTCTGCAGTTTGCATTACCTGCGGCCAGCCATGGTCCAAAAATACTCAGTGGGAAATTTCAGATATCTGAGAGAGACAAACATTCACATGACTTTTATTGTTAATAATTGTTCTGTTTTATTGTTATGTCTTAGTATGCCTAATTTATAAATTAAACTTTATCATAGGTTGGTATATAGGAAAAAACATAGTATACAGGGTCTGGCACAAATAACACCCCCCTTTTTATTACAAAATCTTTTATTATAAAATCATAAGCATGTAATTATGTAACATAACAGTATCACACTCAAGCACACCGTAAAACATTTTAGGTGAAATGTTCAAATTAAAGCTATAAATTATTGCAGTCCATATTACCCTACCAACCACACTGAAGCAGGCGTTACTTCTGCTGAATCCTGTACATAGGGTTCAATACTTGGCACCGTTTCAGGCATATTCCTTGATGGTAAGGGGGGACTTTCCACACACGTGGAAAGAGTTTTGAAAGCAGAAAACTTGTTTGGATCTCATCTTTTTTATATCAGTGTTTTAACTTTGTTTTTAAGTTCTTCTGAACATTAGTATCTTCATAATAAGCTGATAATAGCTGTCTTTCAAGATTTTTGTGATGTATGGAAATAATATAATTAAGATACTGAGCCTAGTTGTAGCACCTCTGTATATGTGCTCAGTAAATCATAGCTACCACTATTGTTGTCAGGTGCGGGCCTTTCTAAATCAGTTAAACATAAACATTTCTGTTGCTTAGTAAAATTACCACGGGTGTTAACCTAAGAGCTCAAAAGTAAAATGTAGGCCTTGGAAGTGGTTATCGGAACCCATCGTCCCCCTCTTTTGTTCCTTCCGAGCCGTCTCGTTTTCCTGTTGTCCCTGGGTGTCGCCTGCTGTCCACCTCTTACATACATGGTTGTGCAGGGAGACCACAAGGATGAGTCTTTTCTCCCTCCTAGCTGAGGGATTTTTCTGTTACTTTTGTTAGCATAATCTCCCCTAGCTCTTTACCTTTGCCTCTTGAAGGCCTTTTTGGACTTTTTATAAAGCTTTTTTCCTAATTTCCTTAGGATAAGGCCTAGGAGAATGACTAAAAGTGCCTTTATTGTTTTAATGTCTTTTTAAAAGTTACCCACACATTTTAATGCTACAATGTACAATTAATAAAGTATATACTCCTATTAATCACATTTATTTAAACATTGATTTCTAATCGACTGTCAGATCCTCCTCAGATTTTCAGTAGAATCACAAACCTAATATATCAGCTTCTCTTTAGTGGTTGAGACACTTCCATTATGCACCTACATTATCTAATTGATTAAAACATTACTCATTACAAAAAATGTTTAATGTGTTTCTTTTTTTAAATTAAACTTATCGGGGCGACATTGGTTAATAAGATCATATAGGTTTCAAATGCACATTTCTGTGATACGTGTTCAGTGTACTACACTGTGTGCCCGTCACCCAGAGTCAGATCCTCTTCCGTCGCTCTGTGTGTGGCCCCCTTCACCCTTCGCTACTCTGCATCCCCTTCCTTCTGGTAGCTGCCATGCTGTTGTCCGTGTGTTTCAGCTTTATATTCCGTATATGAGTGAAATCATACGGCTCTTAGCTTTTTCTGACTTATTTCGCTTGGCATGATATTCTCAAGATCCATCCGTGTTGTCCCAAATGGCGGTGTTTCATTTCTTACAGCTGAGTAGTATTTTGTGTGTATGTGCCACATCCTTTTGATCCAGTCCTCTATCAAAGGACACTGTGGTTATCCCCGTGTCTCAGCCACTGCAAATAATGCTGCAATGAACAGGGGTTGTATATATCTTGGCAAATAAATGGTTTCGAGTATTTTGGGTAGATACCCAGAAGGAGGACTACTGGATCATGTGGTAACTCTACTCTTAATTTTTTTGAGGAACCACCATACTGTTTTCCCATAGTGTCTACACCAGTTTACATTCCCACCAGCAGTGATGAGGGTTCCTTTTCTTCACAACCTCTCCAACACTTGTTATTATCTGTCTTGTTGATGATAGCCATTCTAATAGATGTGAGGTTGTATATTGTAGTTTTTTAAAGAAATATAACTTTGGGAAACAAACTCACTTCCTGCTTGGACCCTTATCATTTAAATTGAGGGTGTCAGCAAAGCAGGTTTCACAGGATTTTACACATTCTTTCTTAGGCCTGATTGCCCTAGGGAACCCGCCTTTTCCAGCACAGGGCCGCACCTACCTCCAGCATTGTTTCAGGCTTAAGTCAGGCAGGGGAAGTAAGGCAGCCAAAGATTAGGAGACTTCTTGAAGACAGAATGAGGACTCAGGCTATGTCAAAGCCAAAAGGCAAGGGTCCATCACCCCCTTTTTCTGTAGCCCCCAAGTCCTTCCCTGAGGGCCCCTTCAAGACTGTGCCTGTCTTAGGTCATCCCTCTTTTGAGGAATCTTACCCATCATTGCCTAACCAGTCATCCGCCTAGGACCAAGCAGGGTTGAAGAGAAAGGGGGCAGAGGTGGTCTCTCTACAAGGAAGATAAGCTTTGTCTCCTAAGTGGCTTATGGTCCCAAGGTCCTTTACTCAGCCTTAGCCACAGGGAATTACAGCTTCTGAAACAAGGCAAGGCAGTTCCCAGCACCCTGTACCTTTTCTTTATTTCACTTTGCATAGCCTTCACTTTTTCCTCCATTTTGCAACCATACTCAACCATTTCTGTGAGCATCCTGATTACCAGTGTCTTGAACTCTGCATCTGATAGGTTGACCAGTGTCTTCATCACTTAGTTCTATTTTTGGAACTTTGTTCTTTCATCTGGACTATATTATTTTGTCTTGGGGCACCTATTATATAGTAAGCGACAGAGCCTTAGGTATTCACCAGGATGGGGCAACCCATGTCACTGCATTGTGGTGCCATCTGTGGGGGAGGGGTCCCAGAGGGAACAATGCCCCTTGCTCTGCTCTCCCCAGCTTTCAGTCACTTCCTCTGCTACCCACAGGCAAATTGGGCCCTTCTGGTGCTGATTCCCAGGTGGGTGGTTTTGTGTACGTTCTAGGACCCTGTGGGTCTCTTCAATGAACTCACCTGTGAGGTTGGGAGTTTCTCCCATGACCACAACCCCCACAGATTTTACCAACAGAGGTTTTGAGGCTTTACTTCCCCACGCTGGAACCCTGGGCGGTGTGGTCTTGTCTTGTCTCGCTCCCCAGTTGTTCTTTCCAGTTTATGCACACACGTGTGGGATCGCCAGCTCCGCCAGCCACTGCCTCACCCACCCAGTCCTCCAGCTGCTGCCTTGCCACGCGTCTTCTCCGCCCTCCCGCCTCTCTGAATAAATGTTTCTTTAACATCTCGGTTGTCAGACTTCCATACAGTTCGATTTTCTGGCAGCTCTGGGGTTATTTGTTTTTAAATTTGTTGTTGTTCTTTTGGTCGTATGAGGAGGCCCAGTGTATCTACCTACGCCTCCATCTTGGCCGGACTGGTGTGTTGTAGTTTTGATTTGCATTTCCCTAATAGCTAGTGGAGTCGAACATCTTTTCATATATTTGTTGGCTGTTTGTCTTCTTGGGAGAGATGTCAGTTCAGGTCCTCTGTTCAGTTTTTAAATTGGGCTTTTGTTGGCTGTTGAGTTGTGTGAGTTCTCTATATAGTTTGGCTGTTAATCCCTTCTTGGAGCTGTTGTTCACAGAGATCTCCCATTTTGCTGGTTGCCTTGTCAGTTTTTTGCTGGGCAGAAACTTTTTAGTTTGATATAGCCCCATTCACTTATTTTTGCCTTTACTTCCCTTGCCTTTGGGGTCAAAATCATAAATCTTGACCAAAGTCCATACGTTTAGTACCTACGTGTTCTTCTGTGTAATACACTGTTTCAGATCTTATATTTAGGTCTTGATCTATTTTGAATTAATTTTTGTACATGGGAACAAACTGTAATCTAGTTTCATGTTTTGGCATGTGACTACCCAATTTTCCTAGCACTGTTTATTGAAGTGGCTTTCTTTTCACCATTGTGTGTTTTGGGTTCCTTTTTCAAAAATCATTATCCCTAGGCCCTGGCTGATGTGGCTCAGTGGTTGAGTGCTGGCCTTCACACCAAAGGGTTGCCAGTTTGATTCCCAGTCAGGGCACATGCCTGGGTTGTAGGCCAGGTCTCCGGTGGTGGGCGTGTGTGAGGCAACCACACGTTGATGTTTCTCTCTCTCACTTTCTCCCTCCCTTCCTCTCTCTAAAAAAATAAATAAAATCTTAAAAAAAATTATTTGCCCTTATACAGGTGGTTTTATTTCTGGGCTCACTTCTGTTCCATTGGTCTGTGTCCACCCCTGCCCCCAATACCATACTGTTTTGAGTATTGTAGTGCTGTGGTATAATTTGAAGTCAGGTAGTGTGATACCTGTGGCTTCATTCTTTTTTCTCTAGATTGCTTTAGCTATTCAGGGTCTTTTATGGTTTCATACAAATCTGATGGGGTTTTTTTTGTTCCATTTCTTTAAAAAATGACACTGAAATGTTGATGAGGATCTTGCATTAAATCTGTATATTACTTTGGATCATATGGTCATGTTGACTCTTCTACTCCATGAATACGAATCTTTCTATTTCATTGTGTCTTTTTCAGTCTCTCTTAATAATGGTTTGTAGTTTTCAGTATATAGATCTTTCACGTCCTTTGTTAAGTTTATTCCTAGGTATTTTATTCTTTTGGTTGGAGTTGCAAAAGGAATTGTTTTACAATAATTTCTTTGTTTGAAGTTCATTGTTAGTATGTAGGAACCCAGTGGATTAATATGCTTCTTCATTATTTTAAAACTTATTTTATCACTTCTCAGGGTTTCAGTAATCTTTTCATAGGTTTTGGTTATTAATCAGTTAGTTCTTGGCAGGGACCTGTGGATTGGCTTCTTCTAGGGTGATTAAAATTCAAGCCATTGTAAAAGTTGCTTTCTGACAGAATCTTGTCTTAATTTTATTTAAAAAATTGTAAAGTGGGTTCCCACCATAAGCATAAATCTGTTGGGTGTTATTGAACATACAGAGGTAAAGAGAGAATCTCTGTCCTTGCAGAAGTTAGGAAAAACCTCAAAATAGTTGGAGCTAAGTCCAACCTTGGTGATATTAGTAGGAAATTTAGTTACTATTACTCAAATGGTATTTCTCATCTAAGTTATAGAACTCAGAAAATAATTTGAGGACTGTTTTCTCAGTTTCTCCTAAGGTTGGTAAATTTCTAATATCGTTCTAGAGTCATACAAAAGAAATCAGTCCACTACATTCAGCCATGCCGTGAGGGCATTAGATCCTGATTCTCCCATGGAACCCTAGGTTGGACTGTCGAATAATCAACTGCACTTAATGTGACAAGATGGGGAACTTAAATTTAAAGACTGGAATTTCTCAGAGTTCTGATGGAGATTTAGATACGGCATCCCCTTGCCGGCTCAGTAGGACAAAGGCTCGGAAAGGGAATGGTGGCCTCTGCCAGCACTTCTGCCTGGGAGAAGGGTGGCCCTCCTGCCAGACAGGAGGGGTCATCCTAATGCCAGACAGTTCACTTCTTCCCGGTGTGTCCCTGGGCCTTTCAAGCTGCTGCCCCAGTGCTGGAGCTCAGAGGGAGTGAGTCCAAGTAAGTCCGTGTGCGAGCCCTTTAGGAGGAACTGCCAGGTTCTCTAGCAGCCCCCCCATTTCCCTCAGCCTTCATCTCTACTGGTTTTTACAGCCAGAAATTGTGGGGACTTTTCCTGGTACTGAAACCCTGAGCTGGGGGTGGGGGGCCGGGACGCCTCACTTCTCTGGGGGGACTTCTGCAGCCGAGATAGCCCTTCAGATATCTCAGGAGGTGTGGAAACAGCCTGTTCATCTCTCCTGCACGCCTACCAGTGTCGCTGTGGCTTCTTTTTTATATCCTTAATTGTGGGATCCTGCTTAATTTCAGGTGGTTCTGAATGATGGCTGTTCTGTCCTTCAGTTGTAATTTTGATGCGGTTGTGGAGGGATGCGAGTACTGTGTTTACTAGCTCGTTCTCAATTCAGTGCCTGTTCTCCTAAGTCTGCCCTGCCTCTGTGCTTTGACTTTCATTGTAATGCTCCAAGCAATAAATTTTCCTTGGAGGTCAGTACTGAGAGAGAGGTTTCCTTCTGAAAGCCTGGCTGTTTCCTTTATTAGACAATAAATTATAAATCATATTGCTGCTTTCTTTTTTGTTTCTGAGTTGCCATGAACCTCAGATTTAGTGTGAATATCTTTAGCCTAAGATTCTGATATTATTTCTCCCTAAGGCTTTGATGTTTTTATTGTTTCTTTTAAAATGCATATATGTTTTATTAAAAACAAGTCTTTTTTAAATCGACAGGATGTAAACAATAAAACACTGGTGTTATTTTAATAAAGTAAAATCAGATAGATTTCTTGTTAGTTCGCTTATTTTTTCCAGACTTCAATTTCTGATTGATTCACTTATTTCTTTTTTTTAAACAACAACTTGACTCAACTTTGTGATTTTTATTATTTTAAAACATTTTTGATAACTCAGTAATGAATAGAAGCTTATTTATCTTTTTACATAATGCGTCTTTCTTTTTGACTTCAGGGCAAAGGTAATTATATTTATTACTTGGAAGTAAATAAAGAATAGCTTTAGGTAAATATATTGGGTGAAGAATGAAGAACCCAAGCAATACCTTTTTAACTTTCTAATTTTAAAACATTTGATGTATAATGTTACATTGTTGCCTCTTGCCATGTAACATTGTATATTAAATATGTTTTAAAATTAAAAAGTTGAAAATGTATTGCTTTGGCTCTTTATTTCTTTTTGTTTTATAGTCTATAAAACCTATATGAAAACCTTTTATTTCTAATTATTAATCTCTTGAGTAAAAGTATAGTTCAGTACTACTTTATAAGCTATATTTTCTCAATTTTCTAGTTCTCCCTTCACTGTACATATTTACAGGTGTTGGCATATGAGCGATTTGCATCTTTTTTAAAAAAAATACGACTCATCAATGGATGCCCCCAAACACTTTATTATTTTTTTAAGAGACTTTATTTATTTTACTTTTAGAGAGAAGGGAAGGGAAGGAGAAAGAAGGGGTGAGAAACATCAATGTGTGGTTGCCTCTCACACACCCCCTACTGGGGACCTGGCCTGCAGCCCAAGCAGGCATGTGCCCTGACTGGGAATCGAACCTGTGACCCTTTGCTTTGCAGGCCTGTGCTCAATCTGCTGAGCTATACCAGCCAGGCATGATTTGCATCTTTAATGGTACTAGGAAATTTTTAAGCTTTGACTAAAACTGTGAGAATTTATATTATGGTTCATTTATAAATTATTAATACTTCCTGTTGAAATACTTAAAAGGTTTTAAAAAGCAGATTTAGATAATCTTTCATAGATACCTTTCCTCAATAGTATCATTATTTACAATTCATTAGCATTTTTGTTACTAAAAAAGCTGTAGGATTTTTAGGCTTTTATGGAAATTACCAATGAACAGTTGGAAGTAATTACCTATAAAGTTGGAAATGGATACTTTTAATTAATTTCAGTTTTGAGGACAAATCTGCATTGAACAAAATCATTTTTCATTAAATCGGACTCAGTTTGGAGACCAATGAAAACAGTAGATAAAGCAAGCCAATTTTTAGTAGTTTTGGAGTAGATTTTATAGTAAACACTTCAAAAAAATGTTCTTTGAAGCATTGTTTGGATGCTAAAGGATAATAGGGAAGAATCATCTTAAGTAGCTCTGAAGAAAATTAGAAAGATTTTTTTTTTAAAACTTTAAAATAATAAATCTTGATGAGTAGAGCCTAACCAGAAGAGGAAACTGCCTGCCACGGCCACTGCCGCGAACTGTTGAGGGGCAGCGGCGAGGCCCACTCAGCCGTTCTCAGCTCACTGTTGGGGACAGCACGCTGGAGCATCAGTTCGAAAATAAAGAGGCACTAATGACTTGGGGTGTATTCTTGGCAGTGATTAACAGTAGGGGGTGTACAGAAAGTCAAAAGCTCCTTTTTTTAGAGGTCAGCAGATCAGACCCGTCTGGTAAGATGGAACTAACATGGCTTTTGGTGTTCATATCTCCAGTAGCTGCAGTGCATTTGGAGTGGTGGTCATGGCTTTGGGAGATCATGAGAAAAGAACTGACATGTGAACTCGTTACGAGAAGGTGTTGGACTTACATATATGTATATAGCATTTACCCATTTTTTGTACAAGCAGGTGGAAACTGAATTCTGTTTCCCAAATACTTTGTATGTTATGTCTAAAAGGTTTTTTCTCAAATAATTTTATATGTATGTTATGAAATTTTTTTTCTCTTTTGGTGCTGTTTTTAAGTGCTAAAGATTATTTGAAGTAGATTATTCTGAGACTGATGATAATTTACAGTTTTTAAATTGAGGTACACAGATATGATTAATATGTTTATGTTCATTCCATAGTTTTCTGATTATTTTACTGGATATTTCAATGGACAATATTGGCTTTGGTGGATATTTCTTGTACTTGGTAAGTTTATTCTTGATGCATTTCACTGTGATTAATTTGCTTTTAGTTTAACTTTGGTATTTCCCAAAATTGTAAGTTGTAAATACATTGTGTTACAACTTATGTTAAAATAGATATTCTATTGTAAATTTCTCATATCCAAACACTTAAGTTGTCATCTCAGCTATTCAAATCATCTCAGTTGTTCCAGTCCGTACTCCAGGTTTCTCAGGTTGAAAATCCAGAGCCATTCAGTTTAAACAATCACTGGTTTAATGAGACTTGAATACTACAAAACCTGGAAATCGTAATATGATTAAAAAATAATTGTTATTTATCTTGAAAATATACATACCTAATTTCTTTTAATGGTTTTAAAAAACGTTGAAAGTAGGATAATCTGATGTGCTAGTCATTCTGTTATTTTTGGATCATGGAAATATTTTTTATACCTTCGAAATGTGCCCTGCATTAATCATTAATCTGCTAGGCATAAGGACAGGCATTATGGCTAATGGTCACTGGACTTCTGTCATTGCCTTCTTACAAGGAATGCCTTTTCATTATATTGATGAATTTTGGATATCCAATTCTTGTTTTCTTAGGTTTTTTACTTTAGATGTATGACAATTAAGTTAATCTTAAAATCACATCATACTCTTAACCCACATTTCAGATTTATTTACTGACATAAAATACACATTTTTTTCTACGTAGGTTTAAAAGCCCACATTTTTCTAGTAGCATAATTGTACCAGGGAAGAATAGCATTTCAGTAGGTGGCAGTCTTCTCTTGAGTTTGCATTTAGTCCAGCTATTGGACCTTTAGGGTCTTTTGAGACACAAATTCATAGTGGTCAGTTGGGGTCACCAGTTAAGGTCGCTAAAGATTCTGAATTATTTCTCTAATAATTATAGTGAAGTTCTGGTGTGATTCTGTTGGGGAGTAAGGCTCATACAGGGTTCAGCCAGTTTTTTGTATTGTTAGTTAGATTCTGACTGCCTGAATTCTGTGTTTTTTAGTTGAGTTTCTTACTTAAAAGTGAAAAACATAAAGCTTATTAGGCAGTTAAGCATATTAATCGAGTACATTTGCTTACATATATTATTGAGAGATTGAGGAAGCTTAGGAAGGCAACTGTGGGCACAGTGAAATGCAGAGGTCAATGCCAGGTTCACATCAGAGCCACAACCTAGCACTCGGGAATGTGGAAATGCAACCTATGTAAAAGTGTCACATATACTCAAGAATGTCCGGCGCATGGTAGAATTCAGAAATAATAGCCACTGAGTGATTGGTTTCTAGATATGGATTGTCTTATTTTAGAAAATGTCTGAGCAGAGTGAAATATCTCTTAGAAACTGCAGCTTCATAGGCAGAAGAAGGGATTTCACAAGTAATTTTGGTTTACATGACTCAATAATAGCTTTATATTTGGATCACAATGCCCATTATCTTTGAGCAGCACCTGGAAGGACATGGGGTGGAATTCAGAGTGAGAGGCACAAGAGGAAGGAGTTAGGATATCGGAAGCAGATGGCATCAGATTTGGGTGAAATTCATACCACTTATTTAAGTCATTGTTTGTATAGCTCTTCGTCTTCCCGTGTTTTAGTGCTTTGATTACTTTGGGACTCGGCATTTTAGACCCACAGTCTCTTCCTCCTGGTGAGGAAGGTTGCATGCATATGTATCTCCTGGTTTTGTTTTTGCACCCACAGTTATCTGGTTAAAAATTTACTGGAGTTAATAAATGTTTTCCTTAGAATCGTGTGTTTAAGTATATCAAAGACTTAATTTTACTAATAATGTTACTGCTTTTTATACTTAGCTAATAATTATTAAAGATACCTGTGATATAAATGGCTATTATTTAAAAATACTATTTTACTGAGGAGAACACTGAGATAGAGATATGAGATATATCCCAAACCATTTAAGAAATTACTAGAGTGGCTCTTTCCCAGTCCTTGTTCCTGATTCTTCTTAATTTTTATTATAAGTCAGTCTTTTATTACTTAGAAATATGAACTAATAATTAAAATTATTTATAGAATGTACGTGTATCTTCAAACACAGATTTTACCGATGACAGGCACTTGATGTTGCTAGACAGGCTTATTCTACCCCACAGTCGTTAGCGTTACCTTGCACACGCTCTGTCTTGAACTCTGACTTCTAACAGTAAACACATCTTAGTTTCCTTAATGGCGACTGTAATTGAAAATTTGGTAAAACGGGATTTCTAGGAGTTGAATCAGTTTAAGTGCATTAGGTAACTTTGCTATTTAAAGAAATCATTCAATAAATGTATATTTTTGTGTAATTCTAGATTTTCATGGCTGGATTTAGTTTTTACTTTAGCTACATCTAGGGTTAATAAATTGAAATAATTTTCAGGTGGCAGTAAAGTTTTATCATCATTCCCCATGATGGAGTTATTTTAGTATAAAGTATACTATGGAGTAAATGGGATTCTACAGATAAATTTCTTAAGCTAAGAGGATTCTGTTTATAATGGTGTACTTTAAATATATCATCCCCCTTACTGTGTAAGAACAAAATCTGTATTATTTCAACTTTCTCAGGCCTGCTCCTTTTCTTCAGAGGATTTGTTAATTACCTAAAAGTCAGAAACATGTCTGAAAGTATGGCAGCTGCTCATAGAACAAGGTATTTCTTCTTATTGTAAAGGTAAGCCATATTAATATATTAACTTTTTTTAAAGATTTTACTTATTTATGTTTAGAGGGGAAGGGAAGGAGAGGAGGAGAGAAATATCAGTGTATGGTTTCCTCTCGTGCATCCCCTGCTGGGAACTGGCCTGCAACCCTGGCATGTGCCATGACTGGGAATTGAACTGCAATCCTTTGGTTCACAGGCCGGTACTCAGTTCACTGAGCTGCACCAGCCAGGGCATATTAACTCTTTTTATTCCCTTTATTCAGATTCCCCAGATACATATTAAATGTTTAATGTGTGCTCATGTTATGTACTTGAATTGAGCAAATTTAACATTTGATAGTGTGAGCAGTTTATTGAAATTTAATAAGTTGTGAACTGCTAAAGATAACTTAGATTCGTAAAATTGAATTTCATAAATTTTAATTTTTTAAATATATGAGTGAACTGAAACTTTGACCACATGATATATACGAAGTAACCACAAGCACTTTGAAGGCTTTAAAACAAAACTTGACAAAGCCCTTACACCGAAGGGATGAGCATGTTGCATAAAACGATGTGAAATCCTCATAGACATCTAGTTAAAAGGACGAAAATAAATCTATAATTGAAAAACAATTGGCCATGCACTGAGGTTGACAAACTGGATCAAGGAATGGAAGTTGAAGGGAAAAATAGAAGCTCTGTTACTGTTTTCTTAATGTGTGACAGTTTGTATCAACAATGAAGGCTGCAACTTGAATAAATTTTAGGGAATTATAAAGAAATGAGCAGAGGTTGTCTTTGTAGTTGTCCAGTGAGTTTCTGGAGGCTGTGTATATAGTGATATTCATTTATTTACTGTGCAGCTAGTAGTATCGTCACACACAGAGACCTCATATCACTGCTTTGTATCCTAATTGTTAAAGCAAATACCATACCCTTCATATGTATAAATGATTTGAACTCTTAAAGTATTTGAACAGCAAAATACTTGGTAAAACACTTCAGGATGTATCTACTACGAGTACCAAGTGTTTCAGGGTTGCCATGTACTAAGTATGTTCTTTTAAAAAATTGTATAGTTTGTGATTTGATTGCTTCGATTTTATTTTTAACTTATATGAGTTTTATGTAAGCTCAAAATTTGCTTATTTCCTTTATGATCTCTTAAACTTTAGAATATATTCTGATATATGCTACTGTCATTTTTATCAAAATAAGATTGTATCCTTGATATAATACTGTTATAAAATGGAGTTTTATTGTATTATTATTTAGATAAATGCAACTGAATACATTTTAAGACTAATTCTTTCTTTGTCTCTAGACTACATCAACCAGACATTCCTTTCTTACACCAATGTGAAATTTCCAGATCATCTTGTAAACCTACAACTTTAATAGGATAGAAGACTACTAATAACAGAAGACAAATTAGTTAAGAAAAGATAGAGCTTCAAAATTGAATGGCAGAGTGGTTTATGCTTAAAAGCCATTTCTGTTCATTCTCTTAAATATTTATATTTCATTTGTTTCGTGCATTTGCGTATGTGTCCCTTCAAAAGATTTGCATATACTTGAAAGACACCGTGAAGTTGCAGCAGTGAAGTCCACTCACATTTGGTTGATCAGTGTTTGATATAATTGGAAGAGTTGAGCGATAAACAGTGTTCTAGCATGTAAATGCCATGACTTCTGACCTGACATTTAGTGTAATAAAATTGAGATTATTAACCATGTCAAATGCTGTAGTTCCTGCCTCTGAGATTCATCTAGTAACTACACATGAAACATCCTTTGTTGTAAAGTTTTTTGGAAACTGCAGTGCTGATTACTAGAAAAGCTTTGTCAGATTTTTGAACATGATTTTACATCGTCATTTAGCAAAGCTCTTTCTGTAAATAACCAAGAATAAATTACTTTCTGCATTGTTTTCTTAGAAATTGTGTCTAGATATCTTCTCATTAATTTTAAAATAAGTAATTTAATATATACAGAACATTTGGGTGTTAAAGTTAGTTTGTTTTAAGACAAATGTTAAGAAAATGTGGGTGTTCCACATATCCTCTATAAGAACAAGATTGTTAAGGGACACGCCGGTGTTAGGGATCTTCAAACGAGAAGCGTGGTTTCTAGCCTTGCCCGTCTCAGAGATTCTTACAGGAAGCGATTGTATTAGATGTCGTATTTATTTCATTTATGACAGTTTTGAAAATTAATTTTTTGAATAAGATAGTCTCATTTGCATTTGTCTTTTAAAAAGCCAATAAAAGTATCTTTTCATTATCATTGTAGTAAGTTTTAGATATTTAGTTTGTTAAATTTAGCAAATAAAAACTTGTGCTATTAATAGCTCTAGCTTTGTGGTTGTAGGACTGACTTGTAAAACTCATATCATGATATGCAAAATATGTTTCCAAGTTCCGGAAATGTCTGTGGAGTATGGGGCCTGGGCTGTGTCTGCGTGCTGCGAGACTGTGTGTGCCACCGTTACTGCAACTGGAATCGACGTTACGTTCATAAGCTACTGCATTTTGCAAGTCATTTTATGTCTTGTTTACTTTTCTTTTCCGTTAATGTCTTTGCTTTTGAGTGCCAACATTAAAACGATCAGAATTATCTCATCTTTTAAACTGAAAAATCATTTAATACAGCTAAATAGAACACATAAAATTGACTGTTTATTATTAGGCACGGAGTACTACTAAAAGATACACCTAAAACTATTCAGGGACATTTTTCCATTGCTGGAAAAAAATTTATTATGCTTTATAGCTTCTTTTGTATTTATCTGTATTTTCTGATTTATTTCATTGTCTTTCATAATAAAACATACATTTTTGTTTTTGCTAATTGTGCCTCCTATTTTTTGTTTGCCCTTATATAGTCCCCTCCCCTGCATAGAATTTTATTGTTGATTTACGTACCCGTGTTGCACCCCTTGAAGTAGAAACAATAGCATGGAGTAAAGAAAACAATAAATACTTGATTTAGTTGCCCGATTTGGAAATTAATTAAAATTAGAATGTACTTATAAGAAATGTAACCTCATAGTAGATTCTTCTTTATCTCATATCAGTTTCCTATAGACCTATACTATGTTCTTTTAATAATTGTAACTAAATGAAGCTATGATGCATGCTAATTTAAAATTATTAGATCAGGTATTAAATATCAGTTTATTAAAATTACACTTAATTTTTGTGTTATTTATACTTGGTTTCTGAATATGGATGTGTCACTTTTGGTCCAACATCAAAATTTCACTTTCTGTTTTGATTTTTGTTCCTCCAAATCTGTGTGATTCAAGTGTGTATGTTACCTGATTCTCTATAATTGGTATAGTTCAGTAGTAGCCTTAAACCTCATCATCCAAGCAGGGGAATTGGAATATTATTTAAAAAAACTTAACACCTTCTTTCAGATTTATCAAATCCTACGTATGTCCCCTCATTTCTTGTGAGCTTGGATGGAACAGCTGCTGGTGTGTTTTGGGGACACACCCACCTTTGCACTCTGCCTTAAAGATTGAAAATCAAAACCCTTGTTAGGGTATCTAAATTTTTGAATGAATGTGAACTTGGGCTTGGACGTTTAAAAAACGTATTAAATTATTTCTATTATATTTGAATAAGCTAGTTATGGCCAGATAATCCATTTTTATGTGTTTATATAAACTGATACTAAGATAAAAATATATTTTCTGTGTTAAGGATAGACTTTAGAAATTGAAAAGTAAAGACAAATCTGTTATATTCAGTAAAAGTGAACATCTTTGTTTACTAAAAAAAAATACTAACCTAGCCCCTTTTTGGAGTCTGTAAGATATATCCCATGCCTTGGAGATTGTTCATGATTTTCTACCCATTTACACAGTAATCACTAATGTATTTCCAGTAAAACCTCTTCTAACAGTAAAAGTGGAGTCCAAAAAATTCAATTGCAGAAAAATTCAAGGTTCCCTAATTTTTTTCAGGTAATCTGTACTGTCCCCCTAAAACACAAAAGTAAGGATAGTGCATCTGACACTGTATTCCACTGGATTGCCATGTGTCCTGAGCTTGCTCAGGACAGCCTTGGTTATTTCATTTTCTCAGCGTAACGGGGCATCTTCTCACTCTCAAGTTGCCTAATTTGGAGGGTTGATTATATGATCACCGTATATGTAACTGTACACTGGACTGACAAGTGACTGCCTAAACCGCCTGCCCTTTGAGAAAAGGGACTGGGGTACCGGGGCAGGAGCCAGTTACCCCTGTCACAGCCTTTCCTAGCCTCATCCTTTGGTTTGTGGGACGTGTGTAGTCTTTTTTTAAAAATAGAAATTGTTGTATTTGAGTGATGCTAGCTTATGATAAATAGTAAACAATGAGCTTTATATTTTTAAACTGCTGTTACATGTTATTTTAATTGTTTATTATTTAATTCAAGTAGTCGTATGGAATATTAGTGTATTATTTTTTAAAACCTCATCTTGATAAAGTTCAACAGTTAGATGATGATGTGCCATTTACTATTCTAGGAATGCCCTTGCCCATATATAAAATATGCTGATGTGTTTTATTGTCAATAAAGTTCTACAGACGTGGAAACGTGAACCTGTGGGTGCGTCCTTTTGAAAATCATTGGATTCACAATATAGAACCACTGTGGCCTCCCTAAGATGTTTATGTGACGGACACAGCTGGCATGTGATGAGGTTGGAGGGTGTAGCATTAACTTGTCACTGTAATTTATGTTAGGGTGACATACAAGATTAAATACAAGAAAGCCAGCTTTAAGGAAATAACTTATGTTCATTTCTGCTTTTCAAAAGATCTGTGGTTACTATGGGTAAGACCTGCTTTTGGAGACTTGTCCTCTTACTCGGGATGTGAGACCTGAAGTATGAAAACTTTCAAGGTTTTTTTTTTGTTTGTTTTTTAGAAAGCAAAAATCTTATTTTATACTTTACAAGTGTTAAAAAGGTAATGTTTATTTTGAAGTCAACATGTTTTTTAATAGTATATTTTTTATCATTTATAAAATTAGTGTTTGAATACAGTTGTCTCCACTTTCCTCCACCACCCCCACCCCCACCTCCCACCCTCAGTCCTTCCCCCCACTGGCTTTGTCCATGGGCCCTTTGCATGTGTGCTTGTTTTATCTTTACTTTCTTGATATTTTCAGGTTAGCTTCCATTCACAAAAACCATTAAAAAGTCCATTAGCTAAATAGAAAAGATGGTATTACCCTTTTCACAGCCAAGATTATAATAAACTGAAATCACACACTCCTGGTTCATAGGATCTTAGAAGCTGTTTCCCCCTCTCTCAACACCTGTTAAAAAATCATCTGATTACTTCCCCGCGCCTTTTGTGTGGTGGTTTTTAAAAATTAAACCAACACTGTCTTCAGTGACGCAAGAAGGGACATAGGCTATCGTTAGAACGTGCTATAGTGTATTTTTTCTTTTAGCCTTAACAGACGCATCGCGAGATCAGCAAGTAAGCCACAGTTTGCTCAGAGCTCAGACAAAATTTGGAGGGCAGCCTGTCTCCTAAATAGGGAAAGTTCTAAATAACCTTGTGGGAAAGCATGAACTTTTCAGAAGTGCAAGAATAGTGCGTGTACGTAAATAACTCGTGTGGAAATATACTTCTTATTCCTTTTGTGTCAAACATAGTGTCTCAGTCATTTGAATTCCTGCATAATGATTTGGTTTGGCTTTGCAGCCTGTGGTACTCGGCCTCTAAAACTTTAGTCCACATCTTACTTATTCATTGGTAAAACGTGACGACTCTTCACTGCCAGCAAGCATTGGTGACCACTGATCTGCATATAGCAGGTGGTGATGAAGTGAGTGTGAACTATCACTTCCTAAATCCAGATTTTTTAAATGAGGAGCAAACTATAGAAAATCTATGTAGGGTGAGTTCATTGAGAGTTAGGAACTTCTAAAAGATTTTGAGTCTCGCATCTCCTTAATCCTATGGGATCTCCTGGGACGAATCCTTAATTGAACAATTCTTAGGACTTCCCCAGAGCTGTGGCTGTTGTTCAGCATCGTGGGTCGTCATCAGCTGGAGTTTGGGGAAGATGAACATTCCAGCTTCAATTTCCAGAAGTTCCAGTGCAGTGCGTCTGCCCCATGACGGCCCACTTGCCTCTCACAGCCTGAGGTTCCGGGATTTGGGTCTCAGTAGACCAGCAATTCGTTTCTCATCATCACGACCTCTTGAGATCTAGCTCCTGGCATACACATGACAGACAGTTACAAAGGGTAGGGTCCGTGTGTCAGTCGCACTTCTTGCAGGGAAAGGAAAAGGCGCATGAAGCAGATCTTTTCCTTTGCAGTTGAGCATTTCGAGCATTTCTTGAGTGCTTTGTTTATGACCTCCGACTGAGAGCCCTTCCGGTTTCGGTTTCGTGTCTTTATGCACATGACAGGTCTCCGCAGGCTGTGTCACCAGTGTGTGCACAATTGGGACAGAAATGAAACTGTTTGCACTAAGTCAGCTATTTTCCCCACAATCCTCCGTAAAGCAAACAGAGTTGGATTATCATAGATGATTTTTCTCGCCTGAAAAAAAATACGTAATTCCTTCCTACTAGCACCGTCCGTCCCTTCTCTGTGCTTGAGGAGTCTGGAGTACTAATTGAGGCAGCTTTCTGTAACAGAAAGACTGGATTTTGGAGCCAGATTAACCCTGGACTCAAATTTCAGTTTTTATGCAAGCTGAGGTGATTTGCTTAACCAAAGCCTCAGTTTCCTCGCCTGCTTTTTGGAGAAGCCAAGGATGTACCTCAGGATTAGGTGAGATTTCCGCAACTGAAAAAATCAGGCATTCTCCTTAGATCTCTGGTGAGTGTGTTTCCTGACAAGGCTGCCTGGTAGCTTTTGCAGATGCCTGCAGGACTTGGATAAGCCCTGGCCTGACATGGGCACTGTACCTGCCAGCCCCTCTGAAAAGCATGATTATAAGAGGATCATGTGGACCTAGCCTTGGCTCCTTAACAACATCTCTGCGGCAAGCGGAATTAAAGCAAAAGTTGCTTGGATGACAATTGATTTTAAGGGACATAGTCATGCAGAGGGGAAGGGAGTTGCCTGTTTACCAAGCAATAAAGAAAGCACCTCAGCTGGTAAGAAGGGAGGAAGCTCACACGTCTCTTCTGGTTGAGAAAGTTGAAGGGCCAGTCCCTCATACTTTTAAGTGTCAGTTGATGATGGGTGACTCATTGCTTTTGTTCAGGGCAGTAAAATTCTGGTTGGGAAGTGATCAGACAATAGCTTGGTTGTCAGCCCTTCCCCAGGGGCTCAGTTGGTTGTAGCAGCATCCCATACACTGGAAGTTTGCGGGTGCAGCTCCCAACTGGGACGTGTACCAGTCGATGTTTCTCCCATTGATGTTTCTCAGCGCCCCCCCCCCCCCGCATGTCTCAAATGAATAAACTTTTCCTTTAAAAGTTGTTGGACTGGTTGTTTTCTGATTCTAGGATAAATGACTTCACCAGCTTTCTCCTATAATCTTGGGGTCTTCATCTTGGATTTATTTTCAGAAATGTCTATTACTATGAAAGGGAAGTACCCTTGGACTCCACCTTGATCATAGTGTGGGTCAATGAAATTTTTGGAGTGCCGGTTAAAGGGGAGATGCTGTTGCCTCCACATGATACTCCTCTCCTACCCTGTTCCTTTTTCCACCTTCTACAAGAGCTTAAGTGAGTTCCAAGTCTTTGGAGAAGCCTTTCTTACCTCGGATTCTGGTCCGTTGGGTTCCCAAAGCCCTGTGCATGGTTTCTGTCAGGCATTGTCATTGGCTTTGGTGGTGGTGCCCTCGGTGGTAGATATATCTTACTCAGCTTTGCAT